TTATTGGATCGTCAGAAGGATACGTTAGAAAGGGTAGGATTAGAAAATTTCCTTCATTTAAAATCTGTCATGAAAGACATAATATATGTAAGATAACATTTAACGTATTATAGCTATCAGTAAATATCTTCTAAATTAAGGCTACCACATTCCGATTTAAATTATAATCTATGATCTATGATTGCGCGTATTTTCAATCTTCTCCCTAGCTCCTCATGATCCGGAAATGCAGAGTTGCGGGTCTTCCATCAAATTCATCCATATCCAAACTCGTCATATAATGTGCGTCGACAAAAAAGTTACGGCGAAGTTCGTGAGAACGCGTGAGGGCGTCGATGCAATTTAACCTTTTTAAGGGAGTAAAAGCTGGTTTCGGTTGTGGCAGATGTTGCTTCCCACGAGATGACCGAACGTTCAGATTTGCTGCTCAACTTTTCCGCGGTTGGTGCCGTGCCAGATGCGCGCAATGATATAATCTGCCTCCGTGATGCAGGCTCACGAATCGGTCGAACGACTAACAATTAGGAACGTAACTTTCGTCCTGAACTTGTTTGGATTGTAGCTGAACGTTGGCGATTATCGCATGTGAGAAAAATTATGATAATGAAGTGGAACGATAATGAAATGTATGGAGAATGAAATAGAATGATTAGAAGACTCCAGGAATTTTTTATATTCGAAAGATGATTAAACAAACATGAACTTTGAAGAATATATTATATTCGGAAAACAATAAAAAAAATGATAGTATGATTTCAATTATTAAGAGATAACACGAAATTCATAATAGTCCAATAACATAATAATATTAATGTTAAAGTTAGTGATTGATTTTTAATGCACTATACCTCCTCTGTACAAAAGAAAGAGAAAACAAAAGATGAGTTTCTTCAGAGCCATTAATAATAACTCGTAAAATGAAATTTATTTCCATATAATCTAAAAGTATTTATTCATGAAAGAATTGAAAATCAAATTAAATTTGAGTAATATGTGACAAACATAATACCCTTTTTAAACAATTTTAATTCCTTTTCATTTACTAATCATGTTTTATCTTTACCGCAATGAGCAAAAATTGGAGCGAAATAAATTTCTACCTTTATATTAAACAGCATAAAATACTTGGAGCAAATTTTGGAACATTCTGTTACTTACAATTGTAAAATTGTTTGAATAAAATGTCGAATGAACCGGCGAATACGGCAGGCTAAAAATTTTAGCACCCTTACTTCTACGTTCAATTGTATCATCAATCGTTTTAGTAATTTCCCTAGTCGCATTTCACCAATCGAAGCAAACAGAGAAAATAGGGATACCTAATGGGAATACTAGCGAGTGTGCATGTGCGTTCGCTGTGTACGTACATATGGATTCAGGGGATCACACATATATACTCGTACACGTAATACGATGTCATTTCGTTAGCGGGTTTATATGCGGCAGAATGAGGAACACACGGAGGAAGTAGGTAAATTGCATAGGCAATTTCCGCGACGAAATTCGCGCGATCAATCGAATACCGCAGTGAAATTGGCTACGATTTAGGTTGACCTATAGAAGTATTGTAACTAGAAACAGCGTTCGTTCCCTACATTTCTTTTTCGCGAATTATAAAGTTTTACATGTATCTTTACATAGAGTAAAATTTCTAAAATATTTGAAATTGAGAAAGTTTCTAAAATGAAATTAATGCCTTAAGCGATAAATTTATTAGCCAGAAAGCAATAATAATATCTTACTTTCGCAAAATAAAACATTTAAATCGGAAAATATTTATTCATAATAAAATTCAATGTATCTTTTGAACTCATATTTCAACGTAATGTAATATAGATGTCGACACGATTTGTGCTTATACATACATATGTATATGGGAAATTTACACGTGAAAATCTGTATAAAATGCATATAATATGTAAAAATATTTTAAAAAGTATCAATTTAAATTCTTTTTCTTTATTCGTGTTTGCAAATATATGAATTAACAAATATGCGTGTATCTCGAGAAATATCTTTGGAAAATGAATTATTGAAATAACGTTGCAATTTCATTAAAAAAAAAAAAAAAAAAATGGACAAAAATTTTATAGAATTAGGAAATGTCGTCATAAATTTAAATGACTGTGGAAGAAATTGCAATAATAATTGTCAAATTGAAAGTTTTAAACCAATAAATTTGGAGGCTGCACAAATAAGTAGTAGAAGTCAATGTAACACCAGACAAATTTAATAGCGGTTTTCGAAAAGTTGCACTATCTACGTCCGAGACTTGTTACCTGTAAAACAGTGGGTAGTCTATAAGAAGTTTGAGCTTTGTAATTTGCAGGACAAAGTTCTTTATGCACCGGATTCTTCCGGGTCCGCCGTTTCACTGAAAGGAAGTCGACTGTCGACTTATTTATGTGGGTTCCACAGAGCAGAAAGTTGAAAGCGACTTTGTTTCGGAACTTAAGGGAATCAAGACCGTTACAAGTCAGAAAGTCAAACAAGGGTCACGATAAAGAGGTTTCAGGGGTATTTAAAATCTCTTGTGGCGATAACAACAGTCAGAAATAAATATTTCATATTGTCTTGCAAGAAGGTCGACGATGAAAAAAATTGAAATCGGTAGAAAGAAATATTCATATTGTAAAATCTTATAATCGTTGCTTGAACAGTTTTCTTCCCTGTTTCATAATGAAGCTTTACAAAAGAAGTTATATTCCAACGTAACTTTATGGAAGTGAGTGGAGTAACTAATTCAAATTAACTAAAATATCAAAGAGGTTTAACTGCGAACGTTTTAAAGTTTTTTTTCTCGGTTTCAAAGAGACAGATATTTTCCATGATTTCAATTGCTTACATTTAATTCTTATTTTATATAGAAATCACATAATCACGAGGAACTGTTACATTTCTGTAACGTCACATTGTTTCAGTTCCAAATTCTTGTAGAAAAGAAGCTTCCTTAATATTACAGTGTAATACTGCCTATAAGTTTAACCAACCAATTGGTTTAAAATATTTGTAAGTAATTGCGTAAAACTCTCACAAATAGAAAATTGTATTAGAGAATACAGTCTGCAGAGTTCTCTATAGGAACTTGAAGGAATTGGCAATTGTATAAAACATGTATCACATACACAAATTCCCTTAGACCTGTGCCCTCTTATATGATATAATTTATTAATTAATAACAAACAAGTTATAAGACATTTTTCTATTATAATTTCCCAATTTTATCATGATGTTTCTAATAGCAACTAGATTCCATCGAAATAATAAATCACATTCGCATTACACACTACTCTCTCGATGACTAAATCAAAAAGTGTCAAATTCCAAACCAATGCTTAAATTATTTATTTATTACCCGAAATTTTGTAAAATATATCCATTCTAGCAAAAGAGTTCAACGGGAAACTAATCGCGGTTTCATCTTCTCTTCATTTTTCCAACATTTCACCTATACACGTTATATATCAGGAATTCAATTTCCCGTGGCACTTTTCGAAGTTTTCGAAAGGCGAAATATCGAATTATGTAGCACATTCCAGCTTATTCTCGGTCAAACATGAACAAGCGAACGGGTAACACTCGCTGCATTTGCAGCGGACGTTCCGCAAGTTGGAGGAAGATCGATGTAGCTGTCAAGCTGGCTTGTGCGGGAAGAATGTAAAATTAGAGTGTTATTACAACGGGCAAAGCGGTGGCAAGCGGCTAGCGTGCTCCGTTGGTGCGACGCGGAACAATCTATGCATTTGCATGCATACGGGACAGGTCTGATGAGTTCGAGCAGGCTCGTTCAGCGAGAAAATTACATCGACACCACAAGCCTGTAACTGTTAAAATCTTTCGCGCCGGCGAGGCGACGCGGCGC